TTCAAGTTACTCCTTAACATGCAAACTTAGTTACTTACTCAATACAATAAAAACTACATGCGCCTATCCCAAGGCAAAATTTAAGCCTTTAAAAAAAATTCTTGTACAACATGTGTTTCAAAATATGCCATGGCACAAAATAAATAGTGATTTATTTTGCATTCTATCAGATCATAATGGGATGAAGTTAGAAATTAATGATAAAATAAAAAATAGAAGCTATTCTAACACCTGGAGACTAAATACTATGCTACTGAATGGCCAATGGAGAGTAGAAGACATAAGAGACAAAATTAAAAAATACTTAGAGGTAAATGAGAATCACAACACAACTTATCAAAATTTCTGGAACACTATGAAGGCTGTTCTAAGAGGAAAGTTTATTGCATTAACCACATGCTTTAAAAGAATAGAAAGTCATCAATTAAATAACATTACATCTCAAGTCCCTAGAAAAAGAAGAACAAATCAACACTAAAAGTAGTAGAAGACAGGAAATAATTAAAATCAGACCCCAAATCAATAAAATTGAAACAAAAAAATTTCAAAAAAAATAGATGAAACAAAAAGTTGGTTCTTTGAAAAAATAAATAAAATAGATAACCCTTAACCAAGTTAATGAAGAAAATGAGAGAGAAAATTTTAATCACTAAAATTTGTAATGAAAATCACCATGTGTACTACTGAGATACAGACAATAATCAAAAACTACTTTCAAAATCTATACTTGAGTAAAGTAGAAAGTTACGATAATATTGACAAATTTCTAAAGACACATGAACTACCCAAATTGAAACAGGAGAACATAGAAAATTAAAACAGGTCAATTTCAAGCAATGAAATTGAAGATACCATCAAAAGCCTACCAACCAAGAAAAGCCCAGGACTAGATGGATTCTCAGAAGAGTCCTACCAGAATTTGAAAGAAGAACTTATACAAATACCTCTTATTCCATGAAATAAAAAATGGGGGAATCTTTCCAAATTCATTCTGTGAGGCTAGTATCACCCTGATACCAAAACCAGACAAAGACATATCAAGGAAAGGAAATTTCAGGCCAATATCCCTGATGAACATAGATGCAAAAAAAATTCTTAACAAAATCCCATAAAATTACATACAAAAAAAAAAAAGAGAGAAATAGTGCACCATAATCAAGTGGGGTTCATCCCAGGGATGCAAGGTTGGTTCAATAAATAGAAATAAATAATCACACCAATAGACTTAAAGTCAAGAGCCATGAGATTGTCTCAATAGATGCAGAAAAACATTTGATCAAATTTATCATTTGTTTATGTTCAAAACACTAGAAAAACTAGGGTTAGTAGGAGCATATCTCAACATTGTAAAAACTAGACTTGCTAAACCCAAGGGAAACGTCATGCTAAATGAAGAAAAATTGAAAGCATTCCCTCTAAAAACTGGAATAAGACAAAAATGCCCTTTTTCACCACTTCTATTTAACATAGTCCTTGAAACCCTAGCCAGAGATATTAGGCAAAAGAAATAAATAAAAGAAAACGTGTTAATCAGAATATTACTCAGCCATAAAGAAGAATGAAATTATGGAATGGATGGAACTGGAGATTATCATGCTAAGTGAAATAAGCCAATCTCCAAAACACCAAAGGCCCAATGTTCTCTCTGATACATCAAGGCTAATCCATAACAAGGGGAGATAGAGAGGGTAAGTATAGAAGATCATTGGATTAGACAATGAGGAATGAAGGGAAGGAAAGAGGGATGAGAATAGGAAAGATAATAGAATGAATTGGACATAATTTTCCCAATTTCATATATGAATATATAACCAGTGTAATTCCACATCATGTACCACCACAAGAATGGGATAAAAATTGGAATGGGCTACACTCCATGTATGTCAAACACCCTACTGTCATGTATATCTTAAAACAACAAATACTAAATAAAAAATAATTTAAACATTTTAAAACAGGTGCTATGGCAAGCTAGAATCAAACTGAGATCAGGAATAGTAAGGAAATGCCCCAAAGATATGTAAACGGACACCTTGTACATTTTTTTAGAATTAAAAAAAAAACATGTACAAGTTTCAGGCCTCACATTTTATTTATTTTCAGTTTTATGGCCCTTGATCTTGGTGTTTTGCTTTCTGCCAGTCAGGCGTAGCCATGTACAACGCCACAAAATCACTGGTTGCATGTGAAAATAGCTACACTTGTCAGGTCTGGGTAGAGAGTAAAGAAATTCAGTCCAAATTAAATTGCACATTAGATTCTATTCCTGCAATTGAAATGTTTATGTGCTTAGTAAATACGTGAATTGCACAGGAAGGTATCAGAAGCTGCGTTCTTGGTTGAAGCACACTAGTTTTGACCCCCAAAAGAAAGAGTTTCTCGGTAGCTCTGTGGCTGGGGCCAAATTGCACTGTTTTTGCCCAGGACACAGACTACTGGGTAAAAATTACCTAGGGAATACAGTCTAAGAAAAGCCAACACTTATTTCACAATATTCCTTTAGCCTTTGAAATTGTTCTGTGATCTTTTCCTATTAAAATTTTAGTATGACCACTCTCACCATCTCTACTACTAAAAATAAATAAATAAATAATTCATAGCGAGTAAGCACTGATTATGGGCTAAGCATGGTGCCAAGAGATCGACACGCACACTCTCGTTCATTTATTGGTGTGTTTTTCATTGCTTTTCCTGCTCTCTACTGTTCTGCCCTAAGTGGGCAGCGAATGAGAACAAAGTAGTCCCATTGGTCTCATTGCTCATGATGCTTACATCTTAGTAGGGAAGATAATAAAAAGTAAACAAACAACAAGATAACTTCAGAAGTACTAAGCGTCTAAAGGGTTCTTGGGAGTGAGGTGGGGCAATTTTAAACAGGAGGACCCCAGAGGGCCCTTCTGAAGCGATGGATGCATGCAGATCAGTCAGCAGAGTCTCAGTAAGACAGAATTTCGAGACCTAAGGCATAAGGCAGAGAAGAGTGTAACCGTGTCCTGAAGTTGGTAGGTTCATCTGTGTGACTTGAACTTTCATGAACCCCAGTTTCCTTGTTCATAAAGACAGATTTGTTAGCGTATTTATAAACATTTAATTGAGCATTTATTATCTGCCAAGTGCTATTTAAACGCTGGGGATATATAAAAATAAACGACGTCACTGCCTTCAGGGAGCTGAGGATTTGGGAGAGAGGTGGGGAGACAGACAAGGAACCAATACAAATCAAGTTAAGTAGTGACTGGTGCCTCAGGGGAAAATACGATTGATGGAGGAGATGGAGAGTGAGGGTGGGAGGGGAGTTTTAGGGGAGTCAGGGAAAACCACTCTGTAGCAGCAACATGTTTTTAGAGACCAGAATGATGAGAGGGAAATAAGCAGAGCTCATGTGTGACTGGAGAGGGTGGGGGAGCCTTTTGGGTGGAGAGAACCTGGAGTGATCTCGGTGTGTGTTCAAGGCACAGTGAAGGTGCCAGTGTGGGAGGATCTGTGCCAGAGAGGAAGTCTGGAGCCGGTTCATGCAGGACTAGCCCATCCTAAGAAAAACCACTGGAGGGTTTGCAGCAGGGCTGTGAGAGGAGTAAGGGCATCTACAGCCAGATGTTGGGAGAATGGAGGATATGGAAATGGGGAGCCTTGCACAGTGCCCTGAGCTCCGTATGTGCTTAGAGGCCTCTTGCTTACCTCCCTCCCTTCCCTCCTCCCTTCCTTTCTTCACACATTCCCTCAGTGTCTCTTTCCTGTTTCATTTCCTTCCTCTTTTCTACTTCGGCTCTGCTCAAATACATCTCAGCATAAGATGCCTTCGCTTGCTGTGATCTGTTTACTTGCCACCTCCAGGCTAGATCACAAGCTCCCTGAGGACAGGAGAGGCGTCTCCTATTTCTCTATAACTGCCACATCACTGCAGCGCCTCATGATTGGAAAGTGGTGGCATAATTTATTGAACTGGCATTCAGAAATTCTGCTCCATAGGGAAAGGGGGGGGGGCGGACTCCTCTTGGTTGTGACCTATTTACGGACTGCCGCTATCCTTGTCTGCACTGAACAGTCCCGAGATTGGTCAGGGCTGCAGGAGCGTGGTCCTTCACAGAACAGCGCCCTGGTTTACCAGAAGCTTGGAGCCAGGGCCAGTTCCAGGGGGATTTGGGCCAGTCACTTAATCTTCCTGAAATTCTGTTTTCTTGTCTGTTCAGCAAAGATAATGATCCCCAGGACTCTTGGGGGATTGAATGAGATAACACATACAAAGCTCTAAGCACAGTGGACAGCTTTGGATGTTCAATAAATATGAGTAGCACTGAAGGTGCTGTCTCAGTTTCTTTCCTTTCCCCCCAATCAATCAATGCGACCCTAGCAGCTAGGAAAAAGGAGCCTGGCCCTTCCCCCAAGAGGTGCATTCTACCCTTTAGTTGTAATTATACCCCAAGTCTGGTGCTGGGCAGAAGGCTGAGGACTTTAATGCTAGCTCCGCCCATTCAACCTTGCCTACCTGTCTGTGCATGAAAACTTGAGTTTTCAAGAGTGAAGAAGTTCTTTAATTTATCTGTTATGGTTTAGCTACAAGGTGTCTCCCAAAAGCTCTTGTGTGAGATAATGCAAGAAAGTTTAGAGTTGAAATGGTTGGGTCATGAGAGCCTTCACCTAATCAGTGTGTTAATCCACTTGAATGGATTAACTGGGTGGTAACGCTAGGCAGGTAGAGTGTGACTGGAGGAGATGGGTCACAGGGGGTGTGCCTTTGGGGTTTATAGTCTGTCCATGGTGAGGGGAGCTATCTGGCTCTCTGCTTCCTGATCCTCACATCCATACTCTTCCACCATGATGTTCTGCCCCACCTTGGCCCCAGGGCAATGGAGCTGGCCATCTATGGACTGAGACCTCTGAAACCATGAACCCCCAAATAAATTTTCCCTCCTGTAATTGGTCTTGTCAGGTCTTTTGGTCACAGGGGTGAAAAAACTGACCAGAACATTATCTTTATAGCAAAGAGGATAATAACTTGCCTGAGGTTGTGTATCCAATATGTGGCAGAGCCAGCTTTCAGGAAAATGTGGTTCATTCTGAAGTTCATAGGAGTTCCTAAGAGGCAGGAAACATGATGTGGGTCCTCTACCGTTTATCAGGCCACCTTGGGGAAATGCAGTGACCCTTTCTCAGGAGGAAGGACTACCTTCCTGATTCCCAGCCCCATGCCCTCTCTGTGGACACCCTGGTGTGTCATTTCCACATACACCAATTAAAGACGATGGCAGAGAATCTGGCCGTCCCACATTTTCCTACCTCAGGGCTGATGCACACACCCAGGTCCTTATTCCTGGCCTGGTTCTATAAGGTAACCTTTCTGCCAAGAGATCTGTATGATTATGCCAGGCACCAGCTCTACCAATACTTGATCCAGGTACTTAACACTGAAAACTAGTGCAGAGAGTCACTGTGTGTTTCCTTCTGGCCACACCCTTTCCCCAGCCTTACTTTTTTTTTTCTTTTTTTATATCACTTACCTTCTGCTTCTTTTGTCTCCGCTAGGGACCTGGAAGATAGGGAAATAAATAAATAAATAAATAAACAAACAAACATCTGCAAGACAGAATTTGTTGCCTGGGAGAGATCAGAGGATTGTTTATTTCTTTTCTTTTCTCTCCCTGAACAGCGTGATCAAACCTTGGCTCTTTTCTGATAACTCTTCCAAGGGCTGGGTAGTTTCTTTGCTAATTAAAAGGTTGGATAATGAGCATTTAGTATTCTTGTGATTAAGACCGCCTCTGCCTCACAGGTCAGCATCACCTGAATTAATTGGCACCTTCTCAGTTGGGGTTCGGTTTTCCAGACTTATCCTACCAAGAATGGCATTCAGAGCTCTCTGTAATCCAGCCCCGCACACAGTTTCTTCCCTGTCACCACCACTTGTCTGTTCACTGGGTGATGTACCCTCTGCCACTCTCTTGCTGTGTAATTTGCTTCCTTGCACCTCTGTGCCCCGTTTCTCCCTGGAATGGTAAAGTTATGGCTGTAGACTCAGGCGACAGTCTTCATTGAAATCATTGCCACTGATTCTGTGACACTAGCTGTGTAACTTCAGCTCTTCTGTCTATAAAAATGGTACCATAATAGCTGACTCACCCGATTGGATAATTGTGAAGAAGAAATAAGAGTGTAATTCCAGCCTCTTGGGAAGGTAGGCAGGAGGATCACAAGTTGGAGGCCATCCTGGTCAACTTAGTGAGATCCTATTTCAAAATTTAAAAAAAAAAAATGAAAATTGGGGCTGGGATTGTGGCTCAGCGGTAGAATGCTCACCTAGCACATGTGAGGCCCTGGGTTCGATCCTCAGCACCACATAAAAATAAATAAATAAAATAAAAACATTGTGTTCAGTTACAACAAAAAAATATTAAAAACATAAAAATAAGTAAAAATTACTGGGAGTGAAATTCAATAGTAGAGCACTTGCCAGGCCCCGAGTTTTACCCCAGCACTATAAAAAAAAAAGAAAAAAAAATAGTATAAAGTGTTTAGTGGAATATCTGTTGTATGTTAAATGTTAATTATTATAATTTTCCCCTTACACCTATTGAAATCTCATTACTTCTGCACTGTGCCTCAAAACATTCAAAAAACACTTTTCTTACTTTCTATACTGGAAGACTTTTGGATCATTTTCAAATCCAAGGTGATCTTTTCCTCCTGTTTTTCTATTTTTATGATTTGTATGGCATTGCATGATTAGTTCAAGTTTATGTTTACAGTCCCTACCTACTCTGTGGCCAGAGACCTAAGCCTCTAGCACAAATCTCAGGCACATTGCTGTAGACTGGAATTATTATTGTATGCCTCTGAGTTAAGGGAGTTTCATTTTGTGGATGTTGTCTTGGATTCTTGAGAAATTTGATTGATTTATTGAATGGTCCACTCAGTTTCTCATTATGCTGAGACACTGGTGCTGGGCGTCTTGCTTCCAAGAGTGTAAACCGTTTAGGCTACCGTTTTAAACCAAGGAGTAGGCTGTCTGGTAAGCAATGGTAAGGCCTGATTTGTACCACTAATGTTATATGCCTTTGGAATGCTAAAATACAGGATGTTTTGAAAGAACCTTTAGGGTAAATTGCAAATCTCATTATGTGCAACTGCAGTTAAGGCTTATGAAGAGATGCTTGGTTCCTGATTTTCAGTAGCAGTCTTATCAGATTTTTTAAAAACTGTGAGAAATTTCACATACGTTTCGCCTCACAAAATACTTATAATTAGGTCAGGATTCAGGAAAGTGGGCTTCCATTTGCATAGAATGACATTAATTCTGCATTCTCAACTAGCAAGGTTGAAAGAGGATTAATCACTTATTCATGCAAAACCAACTTGCATGAATCATTTATTTATCTTGTTCTGGTAATTTTGCAGAGCTCATTTTTTTTTTTTACATGCCTCAGGTTGCAAATAAAGCAAAAACTCAGAAGGTGATTTACCTTCCACAATAAAGACGTGATGGCCGTGTAAACAGCATGCTTCCTATAGGAAATCAATAGGTAACCATGGAAATGACTCCACATGGGAAAAATTCTAGCTTCTAACGAACAAATCATCAAAAAAGATCAATTGTAAGATGAAAAGGCTTTGCCTGCGCCCTTACCTTTCACAAAGGCTTTCAGTCAATGTGAGGGAGAACATGTGCTCCTTGTGTGCCAGCAAAGAATTATCTGAAAGCTTCATTGAGAACAGACACTACTTCTTACTTTCTGAAGTTTGAACTGGAATGTCTGGAGCTCTCTTATTGGAACTCTAACTAAGAAACATCTCAGGGCAAGACAATGTCCCAGAGTACAGGCTGCTTGAAGTCTTAATCTAGCCTAATTTCCAGCAGTGGTGAGATCTTTTGACAATCTGTTAGAAGGAAAATTCCTTGGACCAATTAAATTTAGCAGAGTCGAGCTGAGCAATTATAAACAAAGCAAAACAAAGTAAAACAAAGCAACAACAACAACAACAAAAACTACTTGTGAATCAGGCAACCCTCAATAACAAAGCAGGTTCAAAGGACTCCAACCAACAATGGGATCTGACAGTATTTAGAGAAAACAGAAGTGAGGCATAGAGACGGTCGTAATTGCTTATAGGTTAATTGGTTATACAGCTTTCTGCAATTAATTTAAAGCTCAGCTCTGGTGACTAAACTCCATATTAGTTTGGTCGGCTGCTGCTTAATATAGGAGTCCAGTCCAAATTAATGGACTCTTATTTCTATTTTAAACATCTCACTGGCCCTTGACTTCCTCATCTATAAAATAAGTGGCTCAGACGAGCTTAGGGATGGGGTCTGCTTTAACCCAGTGATAGTGTTAGCACTGCCTGTGGGACATCATCTCACTTTCTTTTCCCTGGAAGACATTACTAGTCAATTCTGGCATTCTTTCTCACTGATCCTAGACAGTGTTAGAATTTTTATTTACACATTTCTCCAGACAGCTGCTTCCTGTGGTTCTGATTTGTCATGTGTAGACATCCATTTGGCTGCCTCTCTGTTATTTTTATTTACTTATTTATTTTGGTACCAGGGATTGAACTCAAGGGTATTCAACCACTAAACTACATCCCTATTCCTTTTTAAAATTTTTAAAATTTCAAGACAGGGTCTTGCTAAGTTGCATAGGCTGGCTTTGAACTTGCAATCCTACTGCCTAAGCCTCCCAAGCTGCTAGGATTATAGATATGGCCATGGCGCCTGGTTCCTCTCTGTTATCTTTAAGGTTCATTTAGCCCTGACATTATAAGAACTGAAGAATAGTTATAAGAACTAAGTGTTTATTCATGTCTATTCAACTATACTTCCGCATAGAATCCAGTTTTTAATTTTTAATTAACAATTAAAAACTGTAATAATGATTATGTCTTAAGACAAAAGAATTATTTGACCTCAGTGTAGTAAAAATGTTTATTTAAATAAAAAAATATTATTGAACTCCTTATTGATGAAAGTGAAATGATATTTATAGCTCTGCTGATATCCATTTAATTTGTCAGCTCAGAGACACTGGTAGCCAGTCTGATGGCCATTTGCTTGCCTGGTCTTTTTGTTTTTCAACAGTAGAGGGCAGCACAGCTAGTGTCTTCTTAGGGAGTCATTTGTACATGACCTTGGGCCTGTAGGAGGTTGGGCTGTGGTGAGTTGCAGAGGAAGACTATATTCATGTGTCCAAAGAGCTACCTTTGTCACATAGTTTAGATTAGAGAGTTGAATTTTTTCTTTGAGACTTTCAGAAATCACCCTTTTCCTTGTTGTTTTTATGCATTTTTAACCTTTCATAGTGATCCCTTTTATTTTGTTCTTTTTCTGATTTTCACCTGTGATTATTTGTCTCACCCAAGAAGCAGTATTATATATATGTGAAGAGGGCACTGCTTTTGGCTTGTGAGTGTGTAGACTCGAATTCCAGCTCTCTCTGGCTAGCTCTGTGACTTTGAACTGGTCAGACTCTGAGAACCTCAAGAAATCTTCTTTTTTTAGGACAGAGATGGAAATACACAATCTTCTCTATTATCTGTCTGTTTTGTAAATCTGAAGTAAAATCAATACATGTGAAAGCACTATTGAAATACAGGTTTAAAAAAATGATGAACCATCCTTTCTATGCCTTTAGTTTTAAGAACGTAGCTTTTAATTCAAATGAATTACACAAATAACATTTATTATTTCTTTCTAAATTATAGGGTGGAATATATCATTGGGTAGGTTTGGTTGAAGGGCATATTGGGATATCCTTGAAATGGTATACAAAGATACACAGGTTTTATGTGAATATTCACTTTATCCTGAATAAATACTAATATTGATCTCTCAAACCTATCTGACCTAACATCTCCTCTTTCAACAGATATTTGGTAATCCCCTCTTCATTTTCAAATATAATCAGTAGATAATGCAATCTATCTACATTCATAATTTTGCATAGAAAATAAGTTAATATATTTCCCTAATTTTAATATCAAGTTTTAGCAAATGTAAAGTGATTAAAACTAACATAATGTGTATTTCAGTATGAAAGTGCTTGATGCTGTTTACACTAAAATATTTGATGAAGTAATCAGTCACTTGTTCTTATAGGAAGAGTAGAAATAACAATTGCAAACGGATATAGGAGCTTTGTACCTGTGACTTAGATCCCAAGAATGTCATTGTATTATTGGTGAAGTGATTTTTAGGATAGTGAACCATTTTCCTAACGTCCCAACTAGATTCTTGACTTGATTTTACTGTCCTTAAAGCCTATTCTGGGAAATTTGATGCATATTAATACTTACTACAAAAATACTTAGGGATTATATTAAAATAATGTTAGCATCTAGTCCCTCTCAGATATGAATAAAAAGATTTTTCTTCAACATGAACATGCAGAGGAGCAAAGTACAACTGATCCTTGTGTGGACTATCTGGTGCATTTCCTGTAGGATGTCCCTTTTCCCTGACAACCACGCTCTAAATGCTAGTAGAAGTGAGCAGGTTTTATAGCTATGACAGCCAAAGGTATCATCAACAATTTCAAAAACATTCCAGTGGCGGCAGAACCATTCCCACTGAGAATCAATGTCTAAGGAAGGAGTCCATGTAGCAACCTGAGTATATCAAGAGTGAAATGTAGTCCAGGCCCTGCCTAGTTGTACAGGGGATGGAATCCAATGTACAGAGAGCAACAGTGTGCAGGTAGCAGTAGCTGGCTATCGAGCAGTTAGCTGGATGGGTACTGTGCAGGTAGCAATAGCAAGACAGAATTTCAGTGCTCAAGCTAGCAGGCCGGGGTTCCTTACGGGCACTAATAGAGAACAGGAAACCCAGACAGAAATCTAACAGGTAAGACCTAGGGCTTGGGGATGAGGTGAAGGGGAAGATTGTAACACAACACTGCCCTAGGCTTGTAATTCACTTTATCCCAAGGTTAATTCTGGATTCCCACCCACTTGTGGGCCTAAGTCTGATTATCTTGATCATCCTTAGTCCCCATATACTCAGGCCCCCACGAAGCTGTGACCATAGACCTACAGAATTGTGGAGCCTCTTCCTAAAAACTTGTAGAGAAAAGCAAGGAATGAAAAGCATAAAAAAGAGAGTTACAGAAACATAGGTGTTGGCTCCAAATTGGGAATCACTTCAAGGGGAATGGTCAGCCTTGTGTCATGGTGACCTACCACAAATGGTAGTAGTAATCTCTTACATTTTCAAGAAGAGATTTCTTATCTACTATTAAGTTT